TTATATTATATTATATTATATTATATTATATTATATTATATTATATTATATTATATTATATTATATTATATTATATTATATTATATTATATTATATTATATTATATTATATTATATTATATTATATTATATTATATTATATTATATTATATTATTATATTATATGCGACCCTACATTGGACAAGCGGTTTGAAGAATGGATTGATATTATATTATTTTATATTTAATTTTATTTTTAATAAAACGCCTTCTGTTACGCAGATGATTACACCCTGAGAATCAATCTGGAAGACTTTGAGGGCAGCCACCGTTTTGCAGTGTACAGAACATTTAAAGTGGATAATGAACAGGTCTTTTTAATAATCTCTTTATATTGTGATAAATGATGTGTGGATGAATATACAGAGCCCATTATGAGCCAACAGGTGGCATGTGAAGTTTCTAAAAGATCATTACAGCAGGTTAATATATAATATGTTCTATTTTCATTAAGAATAAAAAGAAGGGGTTGCACAGTATCACAATTCATAAACTTCACATGACCTGAATGGTATAGTATCTTTGCACTGTTTATTTGGTTGATGTTTTAACGATCCCATTTGTCTTCTCAGAACCATTACCAGCTCCAGTTTGGCGTATACACAGGAAGCACGGGGGACGCTCTCTCTGGCAGTTATCATCCTGAGGTTCGGTGGTGGGCCAGCCATCAAGGAATGAAGTTCAGCACACGAGACAGAGATAATGACCGCTATGATCGCAGTTGTGCTCAGGAGGACAAGGGTGGCTGGTGGTTAAACAGGTTTGCACCTTAACAATGACAGAGCTTTTCACATTACAGTAATAATGACAATTACAATATGTACAAAGGAAGTTATTCTCAAGTTCATACAGCTGCCCTATAGCAGAGTAACCACTGGTGTATTTCATTACTTTAACTATGAATATTTGACAACCAAAAGGTGTCCAGCATGTTTTGTATGTTGTTTCACCTGTATTCCTCTAGATGTCCCTCTGCCGATCTGAATGGATTCTACCACAGAGGCCCTTACAGCGCAGGCACTGATGACAGAATAGTGTGGTACCCGTGGCATGGCTGGTGGTACTCCCTCAAATCTGTGCAGATGAAGATCAGACCTGCCAGTTTTGAGCCTAATGATGTTTAATTCATAGATCTGATATCTGAACCATGAAATGATGAATTTGTGGACGGTGACAAATGACATTGTAGTCCAGCTCAGTAGTCCAATTCTTAACTTTTTACATATGTAGTTAAAAAGCTCTTCTCCTGAATGTAGCGCAATAAAGTTTTCAACACATCCTTGCTGCATCCTTGTGTTTTCAATACATCCTTGCTGCATCCTTGTGTTTTCAATCCTAGTATCTTTAATTTGATTAACTTACTTGTTGGCAAATGAAGAAATACATTTTAAAAATTAAGAAATAATTTAAAATGAAAGAGGAAAGGTTTATTTAAAATTGCATTTAAAATTATGAATTTAATATAGAATTTAGCTGACAAAACAAAAAGTGTAACTATAAATTCTGAGACGTTTTCTTTGTTTTAAACAACAATATCTGTAAGGCTAATGGAGCAAATAATTAACATCCAGTAGTAAATATATAATTCAAAGTTCTACAGAAAGTGCAAACACCATCAATATCAGGGTATTCAGAAATCTAACAGAGCTGTTTTAATGTAGTAAATACAATTTATTAGAAAAACGTATTTTATTACATTTTATAAAATTGTGAAAATAAAAGATTTTTTCATAAATGTATAGGGGTTGAAGTTTAAGTTAAAGTCTATAATAATAAAAAAACATGAACATGAAATAGTAGATTTTTTATAGTAAAGTTATTATTATTATTATTATTATTATTATTATTATTATTATTATTATTAGCCTATTATTAAGATAATATATATAGTGAAGTGTTTTTTAAATTTACAACCAACATTTTTTTTAGCATTTGTTATTATAATATGTTATCTTTAACTTAAACTTAAATCCCTATAGATATATGACCGTGAACTGTAGCGGCTCGTGACTTTCCTGCAGTGGCGTCATTTAAGGAGTGCGCGAGCTCACCTGAGCTCTCACCTTTCAAGTGCACGCGCTGCTGTTAACGGTAGACAAATCTGTGAGTCCCAGTTTATCTCACTTGCGGCGTGCGGGGTAAGTACTCTATGATAACTAGAGAAATTGAGACGTCAGTGTAAACGTTTGCCTTTTCTACAAACGCACTTTTGTACCTTACCGATTTACTAGCGTGAGGCATTTTTCTGTTGTTACTCGAGTCGCGTGAATTGTCTCCAGTGGCTTTTGTTTATGTTTACCCCTGTTGAATGTTTAGTTAGTCTGTATACATTTATTCGAAGGGGATCTTCTGCTTTCTATCGCTTTACAACTTTGTTTACCCCACGTGTTATATATAGACCGAGCTGCCAGAGATCCCAAACAGGCCTCTGATGATTCTGTCAGGTGCACAAGACAATTTAAAGGCGGCGATCCGATCAGGAAATAGATTGTGGCTCAGGGGGAGGTATGAGGGAGAAACATGAGCTCCGCAGGAAAAAGTTACTAGATTTAAAAGCATCCAATTAACTTGTTTTTCTCCTTATTGTTTAACTTTTTTTTTTTCTATAGACCTTCCTACTTCTTTAGATTTCCACGAGAAGAGTACACGGTTCCGAGTCTCCTGATTTGTTTTTGATTGAGCACTGTGATTTAGATGGGGTTTTTTTTAGGACATCCTATGTAATGATGTATTGTATGAGTATTTTTTAGTGCGTATTGGTTGGATGTGGCTCAAATGCACCATTAGTGGATGGTAGGCTACTGTGGGACATATGTGCTGTGCCTTGAACAGATATGGTGCTCCGAAACAGTGGAAAGCTCAAAGGGCAGAAGCTTTGAATTCCACAGCAGGTTATAGTGCAGGTGCCCTTTAGGACCTCATACTGTACAGAATTATCAGATTATTTAAACTCTATTATTTATTCTATTTGCTTAGAAATATATATTATATTTAGTTATAAACGGTAATATTGTACAAATTCAAAATTCCATTTTAATATATTTGAAAATGTGATTTATTCCTGTGATGGTAAAGCTGACTTTTACTCCAGTCTTCACTGTCATGTACCTTCTGAAATCATTCTAAATGCTGATTTCTTATTATTATCAATGTTGAAAACAGTTGTGCTGCGAAAGAACAGCTTTTATTTGAAATAGAAATCTTATAACATTATATAACATTATACATATACAGTATTGACAGTCATTTTGATCTCTAATTTTTTACATTAGAGGTTTTCCACTGTAGCAAATATCTTCATGGTTGACATCCAGTTTTACAGTTTTTCTCCTCCTTTATCCTCTGATACCTAAATCCCTTAAAAAATGCTACTGGCTGCTTAGCAACAGCGATTGCTGCTTTTGACCTGACATGCCCTGGCTCCTCCCCTTATCGAGGGCTTGTCTAGGATAGGGTAACCATTCACTGTCCCCTGTAATGTTAGCCTTGAGGCTTTGCAGTGGGTTCAGTCATGGCCTAGGCTGGAACTTGAAGAGCGCTGTACAAGTAGAGGCGTGTTTTAGTATGCAGGGACAGCCCAAAAGTGTGCTGACAGCAGCCTGGACTGTGCCACATTCCTATGAGACGAACCATTGCTGCCAGCCAGGAGTGGTGCTGAAGGAGGGACTACTGGGGCTGATGGGTATTTTAGAGCTGGCAGTCTTTATATATGTGCGTTTAGTGTGGTGTAGTATTTACCACAGCACTAATAGGATTGATTCTGAGACATGGAGCTGCGAGTGCTGCAGGAGCCTGAATGGGATGTGCTGAACTGACATAATGTTATGCCTGGTAGGACTCTTGAGTTTTTTTTTTTTAGTTTTTTTTAATGTATTTATTAAAGATTTTATATAGCATGAAACTGATAAGAAGACATTTGCTTCACAGCAAGTGCATAAAATACTATTAGAATGTTATTACATTTTTCACAGTTACAAGCTGAGGATATTTGATTTAGGAGAGATGTAATTATTAATATCTATCTATCTATCTATCTATCTATCTATCTATCTATCTATCTCTCTGTCTCTCTGTCTATCTATATATCTATCTATCTATCTGTCTGTCTCTCTGTCTATACTGAATTAAAGTTGCAATGCAGTTTGATGAATACAACATCTGCATGCTTTCATTTTGTTTTTGTTCTATATATTTAACATTAATTGACATGCTGTAAAAAATAAAAAAAGTATTGCTTAAGTAAGCTTAAGTTATTTGCTATGCCATGTGCTATGTTATTGTGCCATAAACTGATTTAGTGCCCCAGTTATTATATTTTTCCAGACTGGGCTGCTTAATAATTAGGCTGCTTTAACCCTCAAGAATGAATGATCCATTGTATTTCACTGCTGCTTTTTATGAGAATTTGACATATCACTTTTATGTCCCTTCAAAGTTGAAATAAGAATCATTCATCAATAATTCTCCATGCGGTAGTGAAGTATTAACAGAGGGGCTCTTGTTTCTTTAATGCCCAGCCCTTTCATGAGCAGTCGGGCTGTAAATGACTAAGCACACTGTTAGTTCCCAAGCTAACCTTTCATTCAGCCTGCAAGTCGAGGAAGGAATTTTTGCACTCCTTTTTAAATCTGACTATTAGGGATAGTAATGGTTCAACAAGAGTTATGGTGAATGTGTTTTATAATTATGCTTTTATGTTAGAAAATGATGAATGCCTCTCATAAAATGAATGAGATACAGCTTTGAAGTTTTAGTGCCTTGGTCCATTTGATTAACTTGAAGATTATATGGATTTTTAATGCAGCAATATAAAGGATTTTTTAAATATTTTCTTTAACCTGTGAGAGTGTAATATTACACACTTAAAATATTTTTCAAAGTTGTAAATAAAGATTGTTGGAGTATGTTTTACAAGGAAGTACTAGTCTTTCTACTTTAAATAAAGTTTAATTTAAAAATTATGATTAATTAAATGTGTTATTTGCCATTTCATTATTTGTGTTTCATTATTTGGCAATTTCTGAGTGAAAATTGTTTCTACTACACCATTTTTTTTCAGTGTACTCTATGAGTATGACAAAACAGACAAGACTTTAAACATGCAAGACCAAAATTCTTGCTGAAAGTTTCTCTTTCAAAGTTTGCATTATTAATATTTTCCATGGATAACAGCAGATGAATATTAATTATTGATAGAGAGTCTACATTGTAGATTAAAATTCAAAGTGACAGTTACTGGTCGTTTGAACATTTACACATTCACCTTGTGAGCAGGTTCTGGGTCTGTGATTTGTGGTACTGCTATTTATTTGTATACAGTTTTGTCTGTAATCGCAGATTTACTCCATAGGTCCACAGTTAAAGTGGCATGTTCACATGCTTTGTATGGGGTGTTATTTCAAAAGAAGCTAGACAGAGAGCTTGTCTCTGCATCTGCATAAACTGGCCTCTTTCCTCATTGTACTTGACAGAAGTGCATTAGAGCATGCAAGGCCTTTCCCTCAGTAGAGGCAAAGTATGCCATGCCTCTTCAACCCCTGTGGAGTAATGCAATGATGTTAACTTGAGGAGACGGAACCCAAAAAAATGAGAGATTCAAAGTAGTCTGGCCTTCAGAAATGTATTAATTCATTTATGTATTTTAAGGACACTGAAATTGATTTTTATTAAATCTTGAATAAACTGTATTGGTCATCAGATTTCATAAACTTAAGTGGCACATTTTTCAAATATTAGTGTTTGTGTTAAGTCACAGCAAGCTAACTTTGTTTGAAAAAGGCATGTCTGCTGGGGTGTAGCCATCCTATCACAAAGCTAGATATGTCCCTAGTCCCTACTAAACACAGCAAGGTGTTTTCACTAGCACTCAGAGCTGCTTATCTAAATACACACGCTCCCACTGAGCCCTCACCACTCTCCATCTAACCCATATTTGTCTCAAACTCGCAACATGTTACATTCAGGCCACTAGACTGCTCTGTCTCAGCAGTTACTGCTATTAAGGGTTCCTGTGTAAGGTGTAAATACAAATACAACTAATTACACCTGTTTGCCGGTTTTGTGATGTGTTAGTTAAACTACTGTTCAAAAGTTTGGGGTCATTATGATTTTTATTTTTTATTGATAGAAATTAATACTTTCTGAAAGGACATTAATCAAAAGTGGATCAAAAATGACAGTAAAGAAATGTAAAATGTTGTAAAAGATTTCTATTTCATATAAATGTAGGTGTTTTCTTTAAAATTCTTTAAAAAAAAAGTATCATGGTCTGCACAAAGATATTAAACAGCACAACTGTTTTCAACATTGATAATCAGAAATGTTTGAGCACGAAATCAGCATATTAAAATAATTTCACAGCAATAAATTACATTTTTAAATCTATTATAGTAAACAAATTGTAATATTTAACTTACTGTTTTACTGTAGTTTTGAACAAATAGATGCAGCCTTTGTGAACATGAGGCATTTTTCAAAAAAAAATTATATGTCCCTAGTCCCTACTAAACACAGCAAGGTTTTTTCACTAGCACTCAGAGCTGCTTATCTAAATACACTAAATACACACGCTCCCACTGAGCCCTCACCACTCTCCATCTAACCCATATTTGTCTCAAACTCGCAACATGTTACATTCAGGCCACTAGACTGCTCTGTCTCAGCAGTTACTGCTATTAAGGGTTCCTGTGTAAGGTGTAAATACAAATACAACTAATTACACCTGTTTGCCGGTTTTGTGATGTGTTAGTTAAACTACTGTTCAAAAGTTTGGGGTCATTATGATTTTTATTTTTTATTGATAGAAATTAATACTTTCTGAAAGGACATTAATCAAAAGTGGATCAAAAATGACAGTAAAGAAATGTAAAATGTTGTAAAAGATTTCTATTTCATATAAATGTAGGTGTTTTCTTTAAAATTCTTTAAAAAAAAAGTATCATGGTCTGCACAAAGATATTAAACAGCACAACTGTTTTCAACATTGATAATCAGAAATGTTTGAGCACGAAATAAGCATATTAAAATAATTTCACAGCAATAAATTACATTTTTAAATCTATTATAGTAAACAAATTGTAATATTTAACTTACTGTTTTACTGTAGTTTTGAACAAATAGATGCAGCCTTTGTGAACATGAGGCATTTTTCAAAAAAAAATTGTTACCCCAAATTAATGATTTCTAAGTTTCAGTGATGTTTTATAAAAACACTTTTAAAAAAAATTCAATTCCACATTAAGAAGGACTAGAGGTTGATAGCCTATGGGTAAGCTCTTGCATTTTTAATGGTGTTTCTCTAGGAAACATGAAGAATTAAACAGGGGATCAATTTCCTCATTACTCTAAATGCAATTGGTCAGTAGATTATGTAACATCTCCACAAAAAAGACCGTTGCTTATTTTGTAACCAACCAACAATACCACAGGTTGTAAATTGTCACAAATTGTAATTGGCTAGGATGTGTGTTTGTTCAGTCAAGTATTGTATGAATAGTATCTAATACCCTTCTAATTTCGGCTCCAGCACATGTTGAGTCACCTCTATATTCTTTATAACCTCTCACACAAATTTAGACCATAAATGAATTGTTTAGAATTTCTGTACATTTGTTTACAGCTTTTTTTTCTGTCTCTCTTTCAGAAACATTTACACAAAATGGGTTTCAATAAATAAC